GTCCGTATGTGGCGAATGCCAGGCTCTGCAGGGCTGCATCGGGGCTGAGGGATGCGTATCCCCACACGCTACCAAAGATCTGGTTTATTTTAGATCCACGGATGGAAAAACCCTGGAAGGATTTCCCTCCTGTTTAGGATTCAGTTCCATCCGTTTATTCAGCATGTTCATAAAAACCATCCAGTTCAATCTAAATGGTTCATTAAAGTCATTGCAAAAAAGTTCAAAAATCAATCCACTGGACTTTGTTTCAAAGTTTGAAGACGTTTCTCTTCCATCCAGGAAGATTTTTCAGTTCAAAATGTCAGAAATAGCGTTTAGTTCCAGGTTTTATCCAGTCTGCTCAGATTAGGTCTGGAGGTTTGGTCTTTAGGATGAACTAGTCTCTGTTTAACGTTCTGTTTGGTTTGAAATGTTCTGGGGTTTAGTGTTTGTATATGGAGACGTGTTTCTGGAGCTGCTCACCGTGTCTGCAGCTCTTAATTTGAGGCGGTGTGAAGCGGAGGCAGACGTCCTCCTCAGCAGGGACAGTCCCAGGTCAAATGTCCAGTAACCTGTAAGGTCAAGCTGTTCGCCGACTCATCCGGAGGAAATTCTAGTTTATAAATGTCCCCTTGTTGTCCTGCAGTGATCTGTCCGTACCCCAGAACCGACCCTGAAGTAAACGGCACGTCGTATCTGGGCGCCACTGGAAACCACACGTCAGACGGCGGCTTTGAGGTCTACTGGAGTAAAACCGGCACCATCCCGCTCTACCTCATCATCCTGCTGCTGCCGCTGCTCTGCTTTCGCTCCGCCTCCTTCTTCGCCAGGTTCACCTTCTTCGGTAAGTAGATTCAAGCGCCACCAGTGGAGCCGCTGCAGGCCGCTGCCGTTCCACTGATGATGATGATGATGATGATGCGCATCACAGGAAGCTGGGTTTGAACAAACCACATGATGGATGAGAAGCAGGAGAGAACATAGATTTAGATCTTTCAGAGCTTTTTATTTGTCATCCATGTTAAAATGGTGCAAACTGTAACCATGGAAACAAATTGATTAAATTGAAAGATCCTTATTTAGAAAAAGATGCATGTTTAGATAAAAGTTTCTGTGTTTGGAGGAGGAGGTTTTACATTTTGGTATTTCGAAAAACTGCAATGGAGAATTGAACGCGTCACATGATCAACAAGCAGACATAAACTGGCAGGAAAGGCGAGGAAGCAGTGGAAACAGGATCGGTTTTATTTCTGTTGCTTAATAAAAACCTTCCAGCCGTTATGAGACAATCTGTGGAGCAAACCTCGCGTCTCCAGGAGCTCCTGTTAGCAGCTGGTTGGTGCAGCGCTGTTCTAATCCTCCAGTGTCAGTGCGACCAGACCGCCGTCTGGCTTCTTTAAAGGTCCTTCACTGGTTGCTCACTACGTCTCCCTCCTTTAGGCACCATATCTGTGGTTTACCTGATCGTTCTGGTCACCATCCAAGCCGCCCGCCTCGGCTTCCACCTGGAGTTCCACTGGTTTGATCCTTCTGAGCTCTTCGTTCCAGGTATGTGTCTGCAGTGAAGGCTGCCTGTCTGTCCCTTCGCTGGCGCTGCAGCCAAGCGTTGCCTGGCGACCCTGCAGAAGCAGCAGCATGCACATCGTGTTTTCACTGCAAAGATTGATCTAAAAATCAGCCAGGCGAAATTTGAGTTTTGCTTCAAAAGAAAAAGAATACGATGCACTACAAAAAATGTCAATTATTTTTAAAATAAGTGCATCTTTTCCTGAATTGAGGAGGTAAGTGAGGAACTTTGCCAATGGAAAAAGACGATTTACATTTAAAATAAGAAAAAAATATTGCATTGATTGCATTATTTCAATTGCAAGAAGTAAAAATACTTCTTCCATTGGTGGATGATCTTATCTCCTGCTCAAATTAAGGCTAAATACATTTCACTTAAGAACTTTTTACTGATTTCTAGATTGTTTTTATTATTTCATTTTTATGATTTTACATATCTGCTCAAGTCAAGTACAAATACAGGGCATTCTCAAAACATTAGCATATTGTGATAAAGTTCATTATTTTCCATAATGTAATGATAAAACTTGAACATTCATATATTTTAGATTCATTGCATGATAACTGAAATATTTCAGGTCTTTTATTGTCTT